ATCATGAATGCTGGCGGTAAGGACACCAGGTGTGGAATGATTCCCGGTGATTACCAGTGCTTACAAAAATAACTTAGCAAAGGGCCTTTTCTTGTTGCTGATGGCTGAGGATAATGGACAGTTCCTTTGGATCCCCCAAACCTGATGAGTTTAGTGGACTTTTCAAGCGGAACACTGACATAGCCTGTTACCTCTGAAGAAAACTTTTCAGACAAGGCACAGTGGTTCATGCCTGTAATCCTAACACTTTAGGAGGCCAAGGCGGGAACATTGCTTGAGCACAGGAGTTGGAGACGAGCCTGGGCAACATACTGCTGAAGTGGCACCATTCATCTGCGGTAACACACAAGTTCCTTGTCCCATGCCAAGAACATCAAAGACACAGACACACAAGGAGTGAGCTTAAAAGCAGATGTTTAATAGGCGAAAGTGGCCGGGCGCGGTGGCTCAAGCCTGTAATCCCAGCACTTTGGGAGGCCGAGGCAGGTGGATCATGAGGTCAAGAGATCGAGACCATCCTGGTCAACATGGTGAAACCCCGTCTCTACTAAAAATACAAAAAATTAGCTGGGCATGGTGGCGCGTGCCTGTAATCCCAGCTACTCGGGAGGCTGAGGCAGGAGAATTGCCTGAACCCAGGAGGCGGAGGTTGCGGTGAGCCGAGATCGCGCCATTGCACTACAGCCTGGGTAACAAGAGGGAAACCCCGCCTCAAAAAAAAAAAAAAAAAGGCGAAAGAAAGAGGAAAGCTCTTTCCTGAAGAGGGGGACCCAAGCAGCTCTTCCATCAGCAGTGAAGCGCAGGAGGTTTTATAGATGAGCTTGAGGAGGTGGTGTCTGGTTTACATAGGGCGCGAACGATTGGTCGAACCAGGTGTTCCATTTGCATAGCATGCAAAGAACTGCTTAAGACTAGGTGTGCTCTTTGCATATGGCACAGAGAAGCTGGCTGCCCCACCCTAATCTTTTATTATGCAGATGGATTCTCTACCTGGCTGGTGCCATGTTGCCTGCTTTTTTACTAGACGGGTGGTGACAAAAGAGAAGTCGAAGTCTCCCTGTTGAACATGCCTGGCTCTCAGTAGCTTTTTTTTTTCTTTTTTTTTTTTACAAAGGCTCTCTCTCACCCAGGCTGGAGTGCAGCAGTGCGATCTCACCTCACTGCAATCTTTATCTCCCAGGTTCAAGTGATTCTCTGCCTCAGCCTCCCGAGTAGCTGAGACTACAGGCATCCACCACCACGGCTGGCTAGTTTTTTTGTATTTTTAGTACAGATGGGGTTTCACCACCTTGGCCAGGCTGGTTTTGAACTCCTGACCTCATGATGCACCCGCCCTGGCCTCCCAAAGTGCTGGGATTACAGGCAGGAGCCCCCATGCCTGGCCTCAGTAGCTTTTTTCTACGGGCACAGCTGCCGGCATCACTGTGCAAGCCCCAACTTGTTCACATGTTTGCAGCTCAATTTTTCAGGCTGCTTGGTTAGAAAAGAAATGATTTGGAGCTGCATTTTCTTAAAAGGGAAGATTGCTGAGGACTCCTTTACCCTCACTATTCTTTCTACTTGAAGAGGGGCATCAAGTGGGGAGCAGGAGCTAGGGCTCCTCCTGGAGTCTATCTGCAGGTCCTCGGAAGAATGCCACGTCCATGTGTGATTCCATCCGCAGTGCCGTTTGGAGTTCATCGCTTCTAGGTCAGAGGAAATGCTTCAAGTTACAGTATTGAGTATACAAGCTCCAAATATGAGTACAAAACACACAAGCAAGAGGGAGCTTAGTAAAGGGGCTAACCAATCCATGAAGAAGACTGGAATCCACATTTTCTCCTAATATGCTGATGATTCTAATCAGTCTTCAAGCATGTGTAGGTTCTCTTCTGCTCGACTAGAGGTGCTGATCCAGAAGCAGCTTGTTTCATTTAAAGGTGCATAGGCACTCCCTGCTTCGGCCCTAAGGACATCTCAGGCCCGTCTATTCTGTGCTACTCCTGAGGCTGAAGAGTCTGTGGATTGCTGTTGTGACTCTATGGCTCCGGTTGTTGCCTTCCATCCTTGTTGCATCACAATGGAAATATTCAATACTGATCTTTCAAGGGGAGGAATACCAGCAACCTAGAACATGCCTCTAGCTACAGAATCCCCCATCCACGGTCCTTCGCAGCCTTCTCTTTCAGTTAAGTCTCCATATGTGGGCATGGAAATGAGCGATCTCTTTGTTCTGTGTATCCAAGATAGTGCACTCTCTAGAAAGGAGCCTAGGTCAGGGATGTCCACAGATGATGCTGCCATGTCACTGAAAATTTAACATAATAGTTTAGGACCGTGGCTGCTATAGTGCAGGTTCCCTTCCAATGCCTGGGGAGGATTAAGTGTATCCAGGAGCCACCAAGGAAATGTAGTACTGTCCCTCGAAGGGATGGTTCTAAGGTGTCACTTGTGAGAGAGACACAGGAAGATCTTTCTCATATCTCAGAAGCTGGCCCTTTTCACATATGATAGGAGCATCTTCGGGAGAGGGATATTCATGCTCAGGACAGTTGTTCACAATGCCGTTTGGAATTTTACATGCTAAATGAGAAGGGTCCACCTGACAAATGGAGTTTCCACACATCAGGGACGCAACATGTCCTGGCCAATGTCTTAGATAATCCTTATGGAAGGGGCTGTCGGTGGTCCAGACACTCCCTGTTTGCCCACAGCTCTGCAGGCCACCACTGTTAGCAAGCCTCATGTCTGGGAAGGCCCGTGTGTTGTTTTTTACATCTTAGTACCATGTGTCAAGGTGGTTACCTAGAGCCGGCCATTCTCACTGGGACTTCAACTGACAGGAGAGGCCAGCTTCTATAAGCCCACACACGCAAGTTTCCTAATTTTCTGAGATCATCCCTGCAGTTCTTTCTTTTCCAAACCTCTGAGCTTTCAGCAGTGAAAAGTGTCGTATTACAACATTTGACATCTCCTAGGGACGGTCCCCTTCCCCTGCTTCTAAATCAGAGGGAGGCAGTTGCTACTACCCAGTCAGCTTTTCCTAACTGAGGGCATGAAGCCTGTCTCTGGCGGGAGTGTTTACCTGGGAAGTTAGTTACTCAGTTGAAAGGGCTCCCATGCCACATCCCATTACGCCTGATAAGTCTTGTCTTAAAGATAAAGCTAACAAAGGGACTCCTAAGACTGTAAGTTCTGGGTCGTTGAGAGGTTCCCTCATGTTACTGAACTGAGCACACCTCTCAGGACAGACCCAGCAATTAGTCTTGTACAAATAGGTCATGGGCCATGGCTGATACCACAGAAGCAAAAGGGCACGTGACGTGTTACTAAATCCGATGAAAGTCCTAGCTGACTCCGTGACAATAAAACCTTCATATTTACTGTTGTCAGTCACTATTATCCCTGCTATAAGGATAATAATTAAGCAAAATACCTGAGTAAGGAACTTGATTTCATGGCTAAAGGATGGCCAGTATGCCTCCCAGCAGTGGCTGCTGAGGCCCTGCTGGCACCAGATGCCATCAAATTATCCCTGGGAAATGACTTAACTGTGTATACCCTCACATGACGCTGTCTTCTAGGGGAAGCCTTTGGCTAAGAGACAGCTGGCTCCTTAAATACCAGGCTTTGCTGTAGGAAGGGTCTACAGTCCAATTTGAAAAGTTATTCTCCAGCCGGGCGCAGTGGCTCACGCCTGTAATCCCAGCACATTGGGAGGCCGAGGCGGGTGGATCACGAGGTCAAGAGATCGAGACCATCCTGGTCAACATGGTGAAACCCCATCTCTACTAAAGATACAAAAAATTAGCTGGGCATGGTGGTGTGTGCCTGTAATCCCAGATACTCGGGAGGCTGAGGCAGGAGAATTGCCTGAACCCAAGAGGCGGAGGTTGCGGTGAGCCGAGATCGTGCCATTGCACTCCAGCCTGGGTAACAAGAGTGAAACAACGTCTCAGAAAAAAAAAAAAGAAAGAAAACTTATTCTTGAGCTTAACTCTTTAAAGGTGGGTTCAGGCCCGTGAGAAAATAGTTAGTAGTAAATGTGGCACGTCTTCTAACAACAGGAAGTCCTGAGCTTGCCTGAGGCCGTTATCCCGAAGCCTTGAACTAAGCTCTTACATCTGTGAAGTTGAGGGCCCTTCGCTGCTTTTCTAGGGACCTCTTTCCTGCTTCAGCAACATGAGGCTTTTCTTGTGGAACACGGTCCGGACGCGGTTCGTCACTTCTTTGCTTGGGGCTCTGATCCCTGAACCAGAAGTGAAAACTGAAGTTCTCCAGAAAGCATTCATCTGCCATGGCAAGACCAAAGGAGGGGATTTGATGTTGGTGCACTATGACCGCCACTTAGAAAAGGACGGCTCCCTAGGCCGGGCGCGGTGGCTCAAGCCTGTAATCCCAGCACTTTGGGAGCCTGAGGCGGGTGGATCACGAGTCAAGAGATCGAGACCATCCTGGTCAACATGGTGAAACCCCATCTCTACTAAAAATACAAAAAATTAGCTGGGCATGGTGGCGCGTGCCTGTAATCCCAGCTACTCAGGAGGCTGAGGCAGGAGAATTGCCTGAACCCAGGAGGCGGAGGTTGCGGTGAGCCGAGATCGCGCATTGCACTCCAGCCTGGGTAACAAGAGTGAAGGGGGGGTGGCGGGGAAGAAAAGGACGGCTCCTTGTTTCACTCTACTCGTAAACGTAACAATGGTCAGCCCATTTGGTTTACCGTGGGCATCCTGGAGGCTCTCAAAGGTTGGGACCAGGGCTTAAAGGGAATGTGTGTAGGAGAGAAGAGAAAGCTCATCATTCCTCCGGCCCTGGGATATGGAAAAGAAGGAAAAGGTAAAATTACCCCAGAAAGTACACTGATATTTAATATTGATATCCTGGAGATTCGAAATGGACCAAGATCCCATGAATCGTTCCCAGAAATGGATCTTAACGATGACTGGAAACTCTCTAAAAATCAGGTTATTTATTTATTTTTAAGACGGAGTTTCGCTCTCGTTACCCAGGCTGGAGTGCAATGGCGCGATCTCGGCTCACCGCAACCTCCGCCTCCTGGGTTCAGGAAATTCTCCTGCCTCAGCCTCCCGAGTAGCTGGGATTACAGGCACGCGCCACCATGCCCAGCTAATTTTTTGTATTTTTAGTAGAGACGGGGTTTCACCATGTTGACCAGGATGGTCTCGATCTCAACCTCGTGATCCACCCGCCTCGGCCTCCCAAAGTGCTGGGATTACAGGCTTGAGCCACCGCGCTCAGCGGAAGACATTTTTGATAAAGAAGATGAAGACAAAGATGGGTTTATATCTGCCAGAGAATTTACATATAAACATGATGGGTTATAGAGATACATCTACCCATTTAATATAGCCTTCATGTTTAAAGAGAGGGCAGTCATCTTTAAAGAATATTTGATTTTTTAACAATGTTCTTTCTTGCTTTGTTTTTATCTATTTTTTCGGACCCCTATGTAAAGAATCCCTTAGGGTTTCTAACTATCCATTTCTTTTGTAAGTTATTGGGAAGAAAAATCTAATTTGTCTCTGAATAGAAGACTTCTGGACTGTTTTTTACTTTCACAGACAGGAAGCTTTGTTTTACTTTCTTACTTGTAAATTTAAAATATTGCAACTAGGAGTTTACCAGGACATGAGACCAGGTTATAACACAAATTAGCACTCTATATTTCTGCTTTCCTCTATTTTCTCCAAGTTAGAGATCAACATTTGAAAAGCCTTTTGCCATAGCCCAAGCCTTGCTATTGTCATGTTATAATGAAATAGTTGTCTGCAACAACTGGCTCTGAGTCTCTGCTTGAGGACCAGAGGAAAATGGTTGTTGGACGTGACTTGTTAATGGCTAGTAAGGCTTTTTTACTAAGAAGATGTGCAGTGCCAAAGTTAGAAACAAAGTTAATAACTTATATAAATATGCATGCATTGAAACATTCTACCTAGGACTTAAGTGGATGAAGTTTGGCTCCTAGTGACTGGTGGCCTATTATGATAAATAGGACAAATCATTTATGTGTGACTTTCTTTGTAATATGATGTATCAATATGTTAAAAAAAAAGAAAAGAAAACTTATTCTCACCTGAACCCAAACAATTTCCTCCCTGAGGAAACTTGGGAACCTGAACGTGACTGTGAGCAAGTTGTGGTACAGACCTATGCAGCCAGGGAGGCTCTCAGGGACATTCCCCTACAAATCCAGGCTGGACCCTTTTCATGGATGGAAACTTCTTTGTAGATCAAGGAGTCTGCAAGGCAGGATATGCAGTAGTAACTCTGAATGGTGGTACTGGACTGCACCCCTCTCTCCAGGCACAGGCACTCACCTAGCTGAACTAACAGCTCTCACAGGAGCGGTGGAATTAAGGACGGGAAAGGTAACTAACATTTGCACTGCCTTCAAGGATGCTTTCTTAGTTCTCCATGCTCATGCTGCCATTGGGAAGGAAATGGCATCCTTCAAATCTGTGACTGAGAACCATTTAGTTCCCTCAGATATTTGAGTCAGTAAGATACAGGGATTCGGGACCACTGGATGAATTGGGACTACAGCCTAATTAACAAGGCAGAGGTCCAGATCCGGAATTCATTGGTTCTTTGCACTCCTAATATTGGGGTATTGTAGGGGTGTTACAGGGCTTGAGGGAGCCCTTCATCTTTAGGTTATTAATAATGGCTTCTAGCCCTTTAAGAGCCTCTGGCTTTAGGGAATATTGTCTCTGGTTAGGAAAAGACGTGGGATCCTTAAGGTGGATCTCAACTGGCCTAGCAGCTACAGCTCAACCTATTCTTCCCTGAGTGGCCCACAATTCTGGATTAATATTGCTTCCACCAGGGGGAGACAAAGAGTTTGCCCCAGGGCTGTAAGGATGCTGGTCTCTGCGAGCTAAAATGTCTCTACTTAGTGGAACTTTCAGGCATGATTAAGAAGGCATGCATAGCCAGGCGCGGTGGCTCACGCCTGTAATCCCAGCACTTTGGGAGGCCGAGGTGGGTGGATCATGAGGTCAAGAGATCGAGACCATCCTGGTCAACATGGTGAAACCCCGTCTCTACTAAAAATACAAAAAATTAGCTGGGCATGGTGGCGCGTGCCTGTAATCCCAGCTACTCGGGAGGCTGAGGCAGGAGAATTGCCTGAACCCAGGAGACAGAGGTTGCCGTGAGCCAAGATTGTGCCATTGCACCCCAGCCTGGGTAACAAGAGTGAAACTCTGTCTCAAAAAAAAAAAAAGAAGGCATGCATAAATAATAGGCCTCTCCAACTACAGCTAAGGGGTTGAGAAAAACATCAGGTCAGAACCTTCCCTGAAACGTCCCTCACAGTTATGCTATGGGAAGAGGGAAAGCCTGGATCAGAGAGGAGAAGAGAGAGGCTGGCTCCAGTGTCCAGAAGGAGGTTCACCTTCCTTCCTCCAATTTCCAGAATCACTCAGGGTTCCTGTGCTATAATGGCAGTTTGAGCCACTGGATCTGGTGGTTTGAACTCCAAGACCCATGGCATGTGGGAACCCATGGCATGTGGGAACCGATGGCATGTGGGATGATCTATGAGATTGGTTCTGAACCCGGTGACCTCCATCTTTGGGTGCAGTCCATTCTCCAACGGTCTCCACCACAGGCTGGACAGGGTCAAGGTGGCTTTTTCTTGCCGCCTAAGAATTAGTAAGGAGATTTTATGTCCGGAAGTTAACTAGAGCGTCACACACAGTGCCATCTGTGAGCAGCTCTGTGTACACGAGAGCTTGCTACGTGAGAGGCATAACCCAGCCCAGCTAATGCATCAGAAGAAGGTGAGTGTGACATTCTTTCTTCCCTCATGCTGACTTGGGGACAGCGATTATGGGGTGGGTGGTGCTGGCCTCTGGGCAGCAGCCGAGGAGGGTCAACCCTGAGAGCTTACTGGGTGCCTGTTCTATGCTGCCTGGGTCAGATGACTGCCTCTTTCGTCCTCATGGTGGCTCCATAGGGTGGGTGCTGTTCCCAAAGTACCCCCCTCGACAGGTCTGATGTCTGGGGTCAGAGAGGTGGTAACTAGGTAACCCCAGGAATCCAGATGTGGCCCTGGGTTGTGCTCTCAGCCCTGCCCTGTGCCATGCTGGTTAAGGCCTGAACCCTGTGGCCTCTCTGCCCTAGATCCCCAATGTGTCCAGAGTTCCAGATCCCAATGGGGCAGAGCCTGGCCCTGGCAGAGCTACTGGGATGGATCCACTATGGGTGGGGTAGAGGGGAGGGTCCTCAGAATACATCTGTGCCCTAAGCCGGGCCCTGACTGTTGCTGTGGGACCCACTGGACACACACAGTTCCTTGTCTGGGAGTGGCATGGGGAGCCTTTTGCCTGTGGGCAGTGTGGTAAAGGAAGGAGGCCTGGAGGGCTGCCTGGATGGAGACTATCTTCCCTCCTGTTCAAAGGGGTACCAGCACTTGGGTTCTCTCCAAGTATTTCTTTCTCTGTCTGACTCCCTCGCCTCCCTTTTGCCCCGAGTGGTCCTAGAAGAAGTTGTTCATCTGGGTGTTCTCCAAGGCCGAGGACCCAGAGTTCTCCTGATTTTTCTCAGTGACCTGGGAAAATGAAGCCCCCACACACACCCCATATGGATAGCTCAGAATTGTGAAGTTCACCACCCCTCCCCCAGAGTCATGGTTTCCACAACACAGAGGCTGCGTTGGAGACAAGAGACCATTTTCTTTCCCTAAACCAAACACCCTCCTGCTCAACTGGCATTTTTCGCAAAGCGGTGTCACTGGTCAGACTGCAGGGCCATGGTAGCCCAAGGATGAGTGCAGTCGAATGGAGAAGTCAGGAGATAGCTTGTTCTCCATAGGAAACAGGACATCTTGGTGGCTTCTGAGCGATCCCAGGAGGCTGATCACACGGAGACCTCTGGTCCCCGACGCCAGTCTGCCTCCACATCCCTGGAATCATAGGCCCCTCACCATCAGTGGGTGGACAACTTTCAACCTGTCAGTGCAGATATGTTCCCATTTCATGGTATTTGGGGACAATGGGATTCTCTGCCCAGGTTCCACTCTTCTCCAGTCCTTGGGAAGGAGCCCACCCCTGCTTCGGACTTGAGACTCCAGAGACCCGGGCAGGTGTGGGCCACTGGGTCTGGCCTATTTTCACCTTGGGGCAGTAATGGAATGGGGGTCACATGGCTGGCCAGCATCTGGGAGCCCGGCAGGAGTGGTTCAAGTGTTCTCTGAAGCTCTCGGGTACAGTATAATGTTGGGACGATTTTGTCTCACAAGATGGACGTGGGAGAGAACACAGATATCCTGCTGGCATAGGAGTGAGGCAATGTCATTATCAAGTATGAGCAGGTATAGTGGGTCTGCTCCCTTGAGGGAGGCTTCTCCCAGTGTTCCCTGGTCAAAGGGTCCTGGGCTCCCTAGGAGCATGGGGCAGGGATGAGTTGCCAATACCCCCAGACCCTTGCACCTTTTACCTTGACTCCTCACCCCAGCTCCTTCTGGGTTTCAGGAACATGGAACTGGGCTGCCAGCAGACACAGGGCCTGAGCATGTTCACATCTGCAAGATTGCTGATTGCCTTGGGATTCTGCAGTGAGTCCTCTGTGCTCTCCTCACCCTCTAAAGCGCAAATCTCAGCTCAGGGATGGGTTTTGCTTTTAGAAAGGCCTTTCTGAGGCAGGATGTGTCTCCCCAGCTTGGGTCTACCTCTTTTCCCTGGCTCCCCTGCAGGTCCAGCCCGTGATTGTTGTTAGGACAGAGGTGCGTGGCCCATCTAGGGAGTGTGGCCCATCTAGGGAGTGTGGCCCATCTAGGGAGTGTGGCACATCTAGGGAGTGTGGCCCATCTAGGGAGTGTGGCACATCTAGGGAGTGTGGCACATCTAGGGAGCGGGTGGGAATGGAGGGAGGGCTAGGTCAGGCCCCTGGCCTCTCCGCAGTTCTGTCTCCAAATTAGCACAAGAGGAGGCAGGCAGCCTGAGGGCCTGGCTCTGTCCACTTGGAGACTACCCCAGTGAGATCCCAGGGTTGTGGCCAAAGGGTGAGGAGCGCTTGGTCCAGCCCGGGGCAGTTGTCCAGCAGGACTCTCAGGGCCCTCCTGCCCTTCTTCTCCCCCATTCCCCTATTCTTGCATTCTGGCCAGGGCGGGCAGCCGAGCTTGTGGTTAAAGGCCCTGGGCCTGAGTCTGGGCAGGGATCTGAGGCCATGTAAGAGGAACCCAGCCTCAGGGATCATAGGATGGAGAGGGAGGAGGGGGAGGTGGGGTGGGAGTAAGCCCATTGGCTGTGCCACTTTGGAAATGCACCCAGACGGAGATGATGGTCTGGAGAGGACAATAGATGGGGTGGGGCCAAAAACACCAACTCACCTGGGACTCCTGAGCGGAGGGGAATCAGTCAGTCCCCAAGGTTCTTTGTGGCTTTCCAGAGACCCTGCTTTCAGTTGGCGTGGACGGCACACTGGGCAGAGGGTGATGGGGGAGGCTGACTTGGGGCAGGCAGGACAGTGGGGGAGGTCTGCCAGGCGCTCTGAGTTCCAGCTGCTGCAGTGTCTGGGAGAAGAATGAGACCTGACGGCCAATGGCTCTGAGAGCCGGGTGAGGCTAGAGGTGGGACAGGGAAGCCATCCTGGGGCCTCAGTCACTCATGCTGCCCCTGGCATCTCCCCAGAAGCCGTCAGCAGCCCAGTGAGAGAGCAGGCAAGGCAGGCATGAGAACAGATCCCAGGAGTCTCGCTCAGGGGTTCTGACAGGACCGGGGGCAAAGTAGGGCCAGGACGGCTAGAGAGACAAGCAGGATGTATAGCTCAGGTGCAGGCAGAGGAAGGTGGACGCCAGGAGGTCAGGCCCTGAGAGGGCCTCGGGAGTGTCGGGTGGGAGGAGCCCCAGGTGTATCCTGGGTGCCCCGGGCAGGTATCAGGCCAGGCCCCCGAGACCACAGCAGGGTGGTGTGGTCACTCGCTGAGGAACTCCTCTCCGGGCCCGGCCACCCACCCTGACAGCACCCAACCCATCTCAGAGCTGATGTTTCTAAGCTCCAGCTGAAAGCAGCACCTCCAGTGCAGGAGGGGCAGCCCCATGGTGCAGCCTAACTGCCCCGCACCAAGGCCCCCAGTGGCCCCGGCCAGGCTGGCCCTGAACTCCCTCTTCTTCCAGGTCCTGGCCCCTTCCTGGGAGTCAGCCCGAGAGGAAGGCCCTTGTCCCCCCTTCCCCGTGGCTTCTCCCAGGCTGAGACGTGGGGTGGATGGGGACACAGCCAGTGGGCTCCCGGACCAGGAAGGCTCCAGGCCCTATGCAGGTTGTCAGCTCTGCCTGGGGTGCCTTCCAGTGAGATGGAGCTGCCCCCGTCAGTGCCCTGGGTGTGAAGGTAAGAGCCTGTACCTGATGCATGGGGAGCTGGTCCAGGGACTGGGGACTCAGCGGATGGTCGGTGAGGCAGGGAAGGCAGTGGGGCTGGGCTATGGTGGGTGGGAGCATATGCTGTCACTGGGAGGGACTGCTCTCCCTGCTGGACCCGACCCTAAGTCTCTGTTTCTCTGGCAGTTTGCGGAAATTTCAAGGTGAGAACCACAGTCATGGCTTGGGAGTGGCTTCCCGCTTGTGCCAGGCCCCCACCCAGAGGCTGGGACCTGACCTAAGGCTGGTGTATCTGTGGCCTGAGGTGGCACATCCTTGGGTCACAGGGCCAGCCCACTGGTGCTCATGTGCTCAGAGGATCTCAGCCCCTAGGGTCTGTCCTCCCCTGGCTCCTTCTACCTGGGTCTCAGGAGAGCTCCAGAGCCCAGGACCCAGCATCCACAGGCCACGGGCCACTCGGGGAAGCATGGCAGCTCCACGAACTCCAACACTCCTCATGTGATGGCAAATGTGGCAGGAGAGGAGGCACATGGAGAAGCAGTTGAAGATGCTGGGAGAGTGGCAGGAACCTAGGGAGAGCAGGAAGGTACTATAGGGAGGGAGTGGCAGAGACCAAGGGAGAGCAGGAAGGTACTGTGGGGAGGGAGTGACTGAGACCCAGGGAGAGCAGGAAGGTACTGTAGGGAGGGAGTGGCAGAGACCCAGGGAGAGCAGGAAGGTACTATAGGGAGGGATTGACAGAGACCCAGGGAGAGCAGGAAGGTACTATAGGGAGGGAGTGACAGAGACTCAGGGAGAGCAGGAAGGTACCGTGGGGAGGGAGTGACAGAGACCCAGGGAGAGCAGGAAGGTACCGTGGGGAGGGAGTGACAGAGACCCAGGGAGAGCAGGAAGGTACCGTGGGGAGGGAGTGACAGAGACCCAGGGAGAGCAGGAAGGTACCGTGGGGAGGGAGTGACAGAGACCCAGGGAGAGCAGGAAGGTACCGTGGGGAGGGAGTGACAGAGACCCAGGGAGAGCAGGAAGGTACCGTGGGGAGGGAGTGACAGAGACCCAGGGAGAGCAGGAAGGTACTGTGGGGAGGGAGTGACAGAGACCCAGGGAGAGCAGGAAGGTACCGTGGGGAGGGAGAGGCCTCTGGAAGCACTGTCTGTGGACTCAGGGGACAGGCACCCATGGCTGTGGCCTGGCACCGTCAGTCTCTCAGAGGGTGGGCAGCACACTGTTCTCACTCAGAGGATAGCAGGCCTGGTTGCCGGCTTTGCTGCCCATTCGTGCAAGCGTCACCTTGCCGGGAGGGAATCTGATGCTAGGGCTGGGGCCACCCCTAGATCAGGTCTAGGGAAGTCTTCTGGTGAAGGAACAGGTCCAGATCAGAGTACAGGACTCTGAGTGCCCATCCGCTCTTTCAGTCTTAGGAGGAGAGACCTTGTCCCAGCTTGACCTCACTTCTACCGAGGAATCATGGCACCCAGACCAGAGACTTCCGGAATCCCTGGGCTCTGGTCCTTGCCGGGGTCATCTTCCGGAAGGAAGGAAAAAGGAAGGTTTCCTTCTGCAGAAAGCAGTGGTGAGACTCCAGCTCACCACTGGCATAAACCTCCAAGCAAGCGGGGGTGGTCTCATGGGGTCAAACTGAGACAAAGGAGTCAGGGCCCCAACAACTAATGTCACCTGGGCCTGACCACCACATCTCATAACAAGAACGTCGGTGGATCTTATTCCTGGACACTTAGTCCTGGACATCTGGCCAATGAAGGCCAGATGGCAGCATCTCCCCATGCTGACACCCAGGAGCTTGGCGGTGTCACATGCAGGTCAGTGCCTTCAGGAGACCTTTTGGACAAGTTGATGAAGTTCTTGAGGGACATGGCCTTTGTCAGGAAATGAATTTGCATTCTGAGGAAGCCTCTTTTTCAGAGGAAGCCTCCCCAGGCCACCTCTGCCCTCTCCGATGACATGTGTTCTCCCATGTGACCTCAGTCCTCCAGGTGATGTCCTTCCATGGTGACTCTGGCTCTTGCAGGAGGTGAGCTACTGCAGGGACCAGAGCCACATTGCCACCTCATTCCTCCTTTATCTCCCTGAGGAGCACGCATTCTGGGCACTGGTTCAGCTGTTGGCCGGTGAGAGGCACTCCCTGCAGGGTAGGTGGACAGCTGCCCCCCCAGGCCTCATGCAGCCAGACCCAGAGACAGCCACCCTGGCTAGATGATCTCGACTTCCAGCAGAGGCACCTTCCTTGTGTTGCCGGCTTGTTGGGAGCCTTTAGGACGTCTCTGCTGAGGGTCCCACAGGAGCCTGGGGCTAAACGGGGACCCCCCCCAGACCCCAAGTCAGATGCCTTTCATCCCCATCAACAGAGGGCATCTCATCCTCCCTCTGTGTCTTGGAGCCACGCCCTCCAGCTCTGATTCTGTGCAGCTGACTCTTCCCTCCCTGAGAGTCCTCCTGTCCTCCAGCTGGCCAGGCTCCAGCTGCTCTTGGTGACCACGGGTGGGTCCATGAAGGCCAGATGGCAGCATCTCCCCATGCCGTACTTCCAGGAGACAGCCATGAAGCCCAGCACCCACCTTGTTCTTTCCACTCTCTTTTATGGCTTCAAAGTCAGGCTCGCCCTCCCAGCACCCTGGCCCAGGAGGCCTCTAGGAGCACCTCCAGCCAGATTCCAGGGGACGTTCCCACCCCTCCTCTCCAGGGCCAAGGCCACATGGTGGGGTCACCAGATGGGAGGGTGAGAGACCTTGGGGTTCCACTGCACAGAGACAATGTGGATGTGGACATTTGGCTCTGAGGGCACACAGCACTGCTTCTGACCAGGACAACCCATTCATAGCTAGGGACTCGAAGCACTGCACTCCCACCTCAGGGCCTTAGCTCTGCCACCTCTACTTGGAATATTCTCAGTTCCCTCCAGGCTTCTGGAAGCATCTGGGCCAGAACTCACGGCTGGATACACACCCGTGGCCCCACAAACCCAAACAAGCTTCTCATCCTCATTTTACTTTTTGTTAAACTTAGAAACTTTATTAAGATATGACTTACATCCCTGGTAAGTGCCACAGCTTGAAAGACAGTCACAGATGGAACATACCAGCCCTTACAGATCAGAAAGCCAGCCATGCCCAGCCCCTCCCAGCGCCCCTAGCCCCACAACCAGTGCTCTGACTTCTGATGACACAGTTAGCCTGACTTTTGTACTTTGCACTCATGGAAGGATAACTACCTTCATGTTTTAAAATAAATCTTTACTTTCAAAATGATTTTAGATATACAGAAAAATTGAAAGGCAATATAGTGTACTCCTAGACCTTCCATCCAGCTGCCCCTAATAAATGACATTTTGCATTACCGTGGCACATTTGTCCAAACTAAGAAATTTAGGCCCAGTGTAGTGGCTCACACCTGTAATCCCAGCAATTCGAGAGGTGGAGACAGGAGGTTCAGGTTCGCCCGCGGCCAGGAGTTTGATATTACCCTGGGCAACATAGGTAGACCCTGTCTCTAGAGGAAATTAAAAAAAAAAAATTAGCGAGGCATGATGGCCTGTGCCTATAGTCCCATCTAGTCAGGAGGCCAAGGCGGGAGGACCGCACACAACTGTACTCCCAGTTACGAGAGCGGTTGAGGCAGGAGAACGCTTGAACCCGGGAGTCGGAGGTTTCAGTGAGCCGAGATCTCGCCACTGCACTCAGCCTAGGCGACAGAGAGAGACTCCGTCCCGGAACAAAAAAAAGTTATGATGTAAAGTACTAGTTTTGATGTTAAGATGCCCGCAGAGGCCGGTCGCGGTGGCTCAAGCCTGTAATCCCAGCACTTTGGGAGGCCGAGGCGGGTGGATCATGAGGTCAAGAGATCGAGGCCATCCTGGTCAACATGGTGAAACCCCGTCTCTACTAAAAATACAAAAAATTAGCTGGGCCTGGTGGTGCGTGCCTGTAATCCCAGCTACTCAGGAGGCTGAGGCAGGAGAATTGCCTGAACCCAGGAGGCAGAGGTTGTGGTGAGCCGAGATCGCGCCATTGCACTCCAGACTGGGTAACAAGAGCGAAACTCCGTTTCAAAAAAAAAAAAAAAAAAAAGATGCCCGCAACTTTGAAATAGTTTCACAACAATACGTGCACACACAGCTACAGGTGGGGAGAGAGCAACAAGCAGAAATGGCCAAGTGCTGGGCTGTCTGATTTAAGCGGAGGTGTTCTCTGCCGTGTTTCCAACTGTTAAAATTATCATAACACAAAGTTAGAGTGGGAAAAAAAACCCGCCTCTCTTCTGCGCAGCCGCCATGGGCACGAGCGGCACGCGGAGCCCTACGACCACCCGAGGGTCCAACGCGCGCAGCTCCAGCGGCGCGGCCAGACTCCATCTGCGCATGCTCAGGCCCCGCCGCGCCGCCCCGCCCCTCGGGCGTACGTGTGCGCGCAGGGCGCAGGCGCGCGGGTCCCGGCAGCCCGTGAGACGCCAGCGGTGGGACGCGGGCGGCCGTCTGAGGTGCGGGAGCTGCGAGAGGATGGAGCCGCCGAAGGTGGAAAAGTTCGCGACCGCCGACAGGGGAAACGGGCTGCGCGCCGTGACCCCGCTGCGCCCCGGGGAGCTGCTCTTCCGCTCGGATCCCTTGGCGTACACGGTGTCCAAGGGGAGTCGAGGCGTCGTCTGCGACCGCTGCCTCCTCGGGTACGTGCGGGCGCCTCGCCCACCTGAGTCGCGAGCCGTGTGGGTGCTGGGGCGCCGGGCGGGCGGCAGCCGCGGGACTCCTGCCGGACGGGGCCGCCCCCGACGCGCGTGTGTGTGCCCGGGGCGGGTCGCGGCTGACAGGCTCCGCCCGGACGCCCCCCTGGGTTGCCGCCGCGCGGTTGGGGAGGGGGCGCAGGCTCAGCCTGGGCTGCGGGGAAGTTGGGAAAGCCGCTGGGCCGACTTAAGGGGCAAGGGTTGTGCCGGGGGTAATTTTGCAGGGAACAGAAAGTCCGTGTCCTGTGCGGCAAGCCTGAGTGGCGCGGCTGTGGAAATCACAGGTGGCGGGCGTGGGAGCGGGTGGGAGCCGGGAGGTGTGCAAACCAGGCTCCCTGCATGGGCCCCCCCCCGGTAAAGCACGAGGCTTGCAGCAGGTGGGAGAATCTCGGTGTTGACCGTGCACCTGCGTGGCCTTGGGGTGCGAAGATGAACTGGACGTCCGGAAGGAGCGCATCAACTCAGAGACAGAATGACCGTGTACCAGAAGGGCTGAAGTGGAGGGGAAATGATGTGCCGTGGAGCATCGGTTCCCGGGGTTCCCCCGCGTGCTTTGCCATTTAATGGCTGTGCAGGCGTGTCTCGCTCTTAACCACCCATCTAGATGCGAACGCGTGAAAGTGTTTTGGGAGCTGGATGCACTGTGCCAATGTGAAGTGCTATGTGAAAGCACTTTGTGGAAATGTGTAACATACATTCATAGTCATGGGAGTTGCATTCAGTCAACAGATATTGTTGAGCTTCTGTGTGCAAGGAAGAAGGGTTATGTTTTGAGATGAGTGAGATGCTTTTGTGCATGGCCGCTTGTCAGACCTGTCAGTCTGAGATTTACATGCGTAGAGGCAGGATGGAGAGTGCAAAACTGGGATCCGTAATTTGACCATTGTTCTTTCTTTGTTCTCATTTGATTCATAATTGAGGAATATGACTTTGCATTTTAAAGCTACGGAACAATCATTTTGTCTGTTGCCGTCTGAAGTAGTGATAACATCTGTTCAGGAGAGAGCAGCACCTTGAAGTTTTTGTAAACTGTGTGGTTGAAAACAGTTCATTTCTTTCAAGATAGTACCTGGCACAGGAAAGTTTTGGAATGAATCAATGGCGACAAATTGGTAATTGGATCACAAGAGCTGAACTTGAGTCATATGACACATGGAATTGTGCATTTTTGAAATAAACTACACGAACCCTTTGTGGATGGGATGCTTGTTGATTTACCGTACTATTTCATTACTCTCGTGCGTTTTTCTTGTTTGCAATAACTGTGGTGATTTAAGCAAAAAAGGAATTTCATGAAAGACTATTGGGGGTTCTCAGTGTTGCTTTAAAGTCTGCAGAGACTTGACTGGAAATGGGCAGGAACCAAATCAGAATTCACTGCAAAAGTAGTTGGGGCTGGATCTGGGGAGTATATCACTTCTGTTGCTTGATAATGCTGGATTCTGCAGTATGTACCACCAGCACCACAGGACCCTGCTGCTGCTGCTGCTCCTTGCAAAACTGGCTGTTGCTGCACAGTTATTCTCTCAAACATTCTTCTTTGTGATATTAGCTTTTATTCGAAGTTCTCAATGAGTGTCTTAGATTGGCTAAACTTAGGTCACTGCCTGTACCCTAGCTGCAAGAGAGGTTGAGAAGTATTTAGCCTTTTTAAGACAGAAGGCAGGCTTGCTCTACTTCCCACCAATAGTTATCCAGTGGGGAAATCAGCAAAGATAAACATAGAAAAAGGGGTATAAGTAAATGCTAAGCATCTCAACAAAACAAGCTAAACAGCTTCTTCATAATGACTAACATACTCGTTCGTATTTTACACACATACACAATATTTGCACTTATTTGGGATTGCCAGGATACACAGTTCACTTGTATTGTGGTAGTAGGTGCTCTGTTTGAACACTCCCACTTAGTGGTGATAGTGTTCTGAAGAGCCTGGTTGGGAGTCACTGCACCCTGAAAATAGTGTTAGGGAGATGTTGGTGCATTGTCTGATGTAGTTTTCTGCCACGGTTGAATGCCTGTCCTTGAGGGATGTTTCTGTATTATCATGTTGTAAGTAAAATTTGTTTCTCTGTATTCACTGTCAGTTGTGAAGTCTTTGAAAATACATAGTGCATCTTTCAATTTTTGTGGCCCCAGTTTGTAACATATAGTAAGCCCTTAGTTTGTAGTATGAATGTCTGGCAGAATTTTCTAACTGTCGAAGTCCTGCTGCTGCCTTCCATCTGAATTAAGTATGGAATGAAAATGTTGGTTCGTAGCAATATGGGGAAGGAAAAATCAAAATAGAATTAAAAAAACATTGATTATAGCCATGGTCATGCACTGCATAACGACATTTTGGTCAACAAAAGACCACATACATGACAGTGGCCCTGTATGATTATATCATTTTTTTAACTGTACCTTTCCTTTTTTAGATACACAAATATTTAACCACTGTCTTACAGTTACCTTCAGTATTCAGTACAGTGGCATGCTGTGCAGGTTTATAGCCTAGGAGCAGTAGGCAATATAGGCAATATCTGAGAGCCTAGGTGTGTAGTAGGCTATACTACCTAGGTTCGTGCGAGTATACTCCATGATATTCCCACAACAATGGAATCACCTAGTGACGTCCTTCAGGGGTGTGTGACACTACTTCAGTAGTCTCCAGAAATAATGGTTACAAAGTTTTACACGATTTCCTTTGGTCTAGGGCTGTTTTGATTAGTAGCTTTAGTTCTGTATACTTGTTTTTGTTAATGGGTAAAGGTGAACCTGCTTCATGGCTTATCTTTCTTTTTTCTTCTCATTAAGGAATGGCTTCTGGTTTTTCATGTTGTGCCTGGAAAAGAAAATGAAGTATGTAAGCTGGAGAAAAATGGCAATGACAGTGAAATTGTAACCCGAACTCACTTTTTTTTTTTTTTTTAAGTTGGAGTTTTGCTCTTGTTGCCCAGGCTGGAGTGCAGTGGTGTGATCTTGGCTCACTGCAACCTCCCCTTCTTGGGTTCATGTGATTCTCCTGCCTCAGCCTCCCGAGTAGTTGGGATTATAGGCATGTGCCAACACACCTGGCTAATTTTCGTATTTTTAGTAGAGACAGGGTTTCACCATGTTAGTCAAGCTGGTCTCAAACTCCTGACCTCAGGTGATCGACCCACTGCAGCCTCCCAAAGTGCTGGGATTACAGGCGTGAGCTACTGCTCCCGGCCTGAAATCACTTGCATTGTCCTTCGGCTGTTGCATGCATTTTCAGTTTGATAGATATAGAAAAGGTTGATTGACGAATGGGTCTGGGTTACGTGTACTTCCTGTTTGCTTTGGTCAACGTAGCACATAAAATTCCATTGCTATGATTTTATTTGTAGACCTCCCTCCCTAGTGTAGTGATCTAAATCTAATCTTTGTATCCCCAGGGCCTAGCACATGGGAGATGGTAATAATTCAAAGGATAATATTTTGGGGAACTTGAAGTCACCGTATGTTTCTCTTTGGTTTTCTCAAGTTCCAAATTGCCTGTAGCTTCCATATCAAGAGCTACTTTTTGGAAACTTTAGTGGTAGTTTCTTCTATTGTCATCTAGGATTAAGGCTGAGAATGAGGCCTAGTGCCTCCCAAGGGGAAGGAGGATGACTTGGAAGTAGAAGTTTCATCCCTTTCAGTCCTGGTGGATTGTGGGAAGTGGGGGACAGAGGTAGCGAAAACAGATTGTGAGAAATTGTTATCTGCTCTTATCTGTTCTGATCTTTTTTGGCTGGCTAAAGTTCTAGGTTTAAGGTGGGGATGTTTAATGGGATGAGGGGACAGTCAGCAGTTGAAGGCCTTTTGCTCTGCTCCTTATTTGGAATCTTGAGAGGAGATGTTTTGCAGGTTGGTGATAGGCCAACATGAGTCTGTAGCACAGCAGTGGTAGAAGGAAGTGGCTAGCTAGATGAGCTTGTGGTAGCAGGAGATTCTGAAATGCTCTCATACCACCACGAAGGAGGTGGAAGAATTACTGGCGTGGTGGAACAGCTGGCATCATGACAACGGACTGTGTAACTATAGATTCAAGGTCAGGATCACAGACCCCAGGGATGAGAGCCAGCACAACCTCCCAAAAGATGAGATGGCACTAGTTCAGCCATAGGACCTGATTACCTCCTTGCAGCAGAGACCAGTGAGGTTCCAGAGAGACAATACGGATTCAAGGTCTTTTTGGCACTGTTCCTTCTAGGATGTTCCTATAAGACCTTGGAGGAAATCTACCTGAAAGCAGTCATTTAAAGCAGTCTGAGTAAGGAGTAAAGTCTGAGTATGGACTAGAAGAGATTAAGATATTGTTTGACAAGTTTTAAATTTCCTGGATATTTATTAGAGTAGATATTCGTGAGGAATATTAGATTAATCATGGAAAAAAATGGCACATGTTCAGGTGACAGATCAGATCAGTTATAGAAAATAAAGCAGGCTGTAGTCCCAGCACTTTGGGTTGGGACACGTGGATTGCTTGAGCCCAGGAGTTCAAGATGAGCCTGTGCAACATGGCAAAAACCCGTCTCTACTAAAAATACAAATAACTACCCAGGTGAATGCCTGTAGTCCCAGCTACTCAGAAGTCTGAGGTGGGAAGATCAGTTGAGCCCAGGAGTTGGAGGTTGCAGTGAGTGGTGATCACAGCATTGCATACCAGCCTGGGCAACAAAGTGAAACCCTGTCTCAAAAAAAAAGGCAACTGCATTTGAGTTGCAGTGTGAGTAAATGTGACAAGGTAACAAAGGGTAATAAATCACTGCATTAGGTGAGATGATGGAGTCTATCTTGGCTAAGGACTGAACCTGGGGTGGAGACAGGAGGGAATATCTTCATGTACGAGGGTGAGAAGAGGTGCCAGATGCGCACAGTGGTTCAAGTCTATCCCAACACTTTGGGAGGCCAACGCAGGCAGATAACCTGAGGTCGGGAGTTCGAGACCAGCCTGATCAACATGGAGAAACCCCATCTCTATTAAAAATACAAAATTAGCTGGGCGTGGTGGTGCATGCCTGTAATCCCAGCTACTCGGGAGGCTGAGGCAGGAGAATCCCTTGAACCTGGGAGGTGAAAGTTGCAGTGAGCTGAGGTTGTGCCATTGCCCTCTAGCCTAGGCAACAAAAGCAAAATTCTGTATCAAAACAAAAACAAAACAGAAGAGGTGCCAGAGAAGGCAACGGCAGTGGTGACTGAAAAGTTTAAGGACAGCTAGAAAGTGGTTGCTAAGTGACTCAGCCTTAGGAGAGATTGGAAGTAGTCTTCTAGGAGAGAAGCATAAATTGCCTCGTGAGAGACTAGCGAGCAATACAGTCAGGATGGCTAAAGGTGACCCCAAGAAACCAAATGACATGATGTCTGCTTATAGCTTCTTTGTGCAGACGTGCAGAGGACATAAGAAGAAAAACCCAGAGGTCCCTGTCAATTTTGCAGAATTTTCCAAGAAATGCTCTGAGAGGTGGAAGACAATGTCCGGGAAAGGGAAATCTAAATTTGATGAAATGGCAAAGGTGGATAAAGTGCGCTGTGATTGGGAAATGAAGGATTATGGACCAGCTAAGGGAGGCAAGAAGAAGAAGGATCCTAATGCCCCCAAAAGGCCACCATCTGACTTCTTCCTGTTCTGCTCAGAATTCCACCCCAAGATCAAATCCACAAACCCTGGCATCTCTATTGGAGATGTGGCAAAAAAGCTGGGTGAGATGTGGAATCACCTAAATGACAGCGAAAAGCAGCCTTCCATCACTAAGGCGGCAAGGGTGAAGGAGAAGGATGAGGAGGATGTTGCTGACTGTAAGTTGAAAGGAAAGCTTGATTGTGCAAAGTGTCCTGGTAAAGTTGCCTGGAAAAAAGTGGAAGAGGAAGATGAAGAAGATGGGGCGGGGGTAGGGGGAATAAAAAAACTGTTTATCTGTAAAAAAAAAATTGCCTCGTGAAACGTAGGATTGTTGAAAGTGCTGAGAGTCTGCTTAAAGCTTGTGTTCATTTATTTAAAGTGGGAACAGTTAGTTGGGTAGCGTTTCCTTCCTCTCTCGGTGGCCAGCTGCTTGGCCATGAGAACTGGATTTACCCAGGATTGCTAGGTTAGTATGATGGATGGAGAGGGGATAGGAAGTTGAAGTTGTAGGCAAGGGAGGGTGTAATCATGGATCATAGTTTCTCAGGTAGGGAACGGGGTCATAAGGAAGGTGATGGTCAGTGAAATGTGGTCAAATCAATGGATTAGAGGAGCTCATGTGCTCAGAGAAATGGTGAATGGTCAGATAATGGGTTGACTTGATATGTACATGCTGAGAAGTAGTGTGTGTTTTGATACAAGGGTCAGGGTATGGCAGAAAGTGGCCAGGGTAGGGAGTAAGAGAAAATGTTTGGTCAGGAAACCCAAAGGCTGAGGTGGTAGACGAATTGTCTAAATACATGAAGTTACTAAGAATGTTAGACATTGGAATGGATAGTTTCAGCAAAGGCAGAATTCTCACATTGGCTGCAATAACCCGAGGTTTCAGGGTCAGTAGAGTGGAAGAGGCTAGTGGAGATGGGGAAGCACTTACCCCTGTTAAAATAATGTAAAAAGACATGACTGGGTTTATGGCTGATTTGTGAAATATGGGTAGCACCAGGTGCAAGTGAATTGCTGCAGTGTTACAGACTCTTGCTCTGAGGCCCTGAAGGTCACATGACTAGCAAAAGCGTTTCAAAGAGTAGAACCTTGAACACCAGCTTGGAATAGGACTTGCAGCTTCCTGGCTTGGCATAAAATAAGGTGGAACAGTTGATAATAATGTGGTTTGGGAAAGGACATTATGGATGTGACTCCATTTTTCTTTTTAAGTGGGAGCCATAATTCCTGTTCCTTTTGCTGCTTGCTTTTCTTCTGCAAGGTTTGGGAGAGGGCTTATGGCTGAGCCCTGGTGAAAACATTTGATCCGTGTGAATGCCACAGCAGAGGAGATTCTTAATCAGACAGGATGAGCTGCTTTGTGGATAGCAGTAAGTTGTTCTTCAGACAGCCTGGTGCTTGCTCAAAGGGCCCAAGAACAGAGCAACCATGGGGACGGGGGTAGAGGTTGGTGCCTGGAACTCAACAGTACAAACTTCCCCTCATAGCCATTGTGGCTTCTCTGGTACAGAGTACCCAGTTTGCTGCCAGTAGTAACCGGTCTTGAGTTCCCCACAAGGCAACGTATCTTCAGGACCAGCCAGCCACCTCGTGTCAGGTTTTTATTGTAGAACTTTTTGTCATGGAGGGGTCGGTTGGAATATCAATTTTTTTCCTGTGCTTGGATTTGTCTTCCCTGTGTGTAATACCATCCCTAAGATCCACTGAGAATCTTTGATAGAGCTGTAATATTTCCCACAAGGTTGCCTCTGACCTTCACAGAAAGAGAACTGGAGTAATGGGATAATGCTTATGGTTTTGACTGTTTATGTTTGCTGATTTCCTCATTGGATGACGATTGGTGGGACGTAGAGTGAGCCTGCCTTCTAGCAAAAAAGCCAAAAAGGCTGAATACCTTCTCAACCTCCCTTACAGCAAGGGTGCAGGCAATGACCTAAGTTCAGTCAATCCAAGACACTCACTGAGGATTTTGAAAAAAAGCCAATATCACAAAAAAGAAAGGTTGAGAATAACTCTCCAGCAATAGCCAAGGAGTAGCCGCAGCAGCAGCAGGGTCCAGTGTCTGTGGTGCTGGTGGTACATACTGCAGAATCCAGCATTATCAGGTAACAGAAGTGATACAATCCCCAGACCCAGCCCCTGCTCTTAACATACACTGGCCTTTAAGTCAGCTGATATTATAGACTAGTGGTTCTCAGACCTTTTAGACTCAGACAGAACCCCTTTATGCTTTTACAAATTATCTAAATGGATGTGCTAGGGATTTAAAAAGCATTATTGATGGTACTGGTGATGTTTTGTTTATGTGGGTTTTATCTATTGATATTTACTGCATAAAAATTAAAATTAAGTTTTGAAAACACCTATTTAAACATAAATTTAAGGCTGGGTGTGGTGGCTCACACCTGTAATTCTAGCACTTTGGGAGGCTGAGGCAGGCAGATCACATGAGCCCAGGAGTTTGAGATCAGCATGGCCAACATAATGAAACCCTGTCTTTACTAAAAATGCAAAAATTAGCCAGATATAGTGGGGCATGCCTGTAATCCTAGCTACTCAGGAGGCTGAGGCAGGAGAATTGCTTGCACCTGGGAGGTGGAGATTGCAGTGAGCCAAGATTGCACCACTGTGCTGTAGCCTGGGCAACACAGTGAGACCCTGTCTCAAAAAATATGTGTGTGTGTGTGTGTGTGTGTGTGTGTGTATTTGATTGATTCATAAAAAAGTTACACTGCACAGAACGATCCAAGATGGCCGATCGCTAACATCCCGGGATTGCAGCTCTCAGGGAAGGCGCGGAGAACTAGAGGACGCCACACTTTCAGACAAAGTCTGGTCGCTCACGGAGCAGAAGATCCCCCAGTGGCGGAAACACACGGGTCGCCAGCGCGACTCTCGTGGTCGGCGCAGCGGTTCCGCCAGCACCTTGGCGCAGCAGCTCTCGGAGCAGCGTAAACGGGACCGCTTTCCCTTCTGACCGAGGTTTGGAGACCCGGGAAGGCAGAGTCGCCTACTACGGAAACAAGAAGGAAGCCCGACAGGAGAATCCTGGGCAGAAAAGCACCATCAGTTTTAACGCGGCTGCTCTGGCCCTGGGAACTAACAACCTGGACGTCCACTCGAGAGACCTAATCTGAAAGTTGGTAATTTCAAAGACGACAGGAGGATAAATTTACAATGACGGGAAGAAACCAGCGTAAAAAAGCTGAGAATACTCAAAGTCAGAACGCCTCTCCCTCTAAAGATGATCACAGTTCCACATCAACAATGGAACAAGGCTTGATGGAGAACGAGCGCCTCCTGATGACAGAATCACTCTTCAAGGAATGGATAATAACAAACTTCGGTGAGTTAAAAGAACATGTTGTAGCCCAACGTAAAGAAACTAGGAACTTTGAAAAAAGGTTTGATGAAATCCTATTGAGAATAGACAACTTAGAGCGGAGTATGAGTGAATTAATGGAACTGAAGAATACAATACAGGAACTCCAAGAAGTATGCACAGGTTTAAACACTCGAATTGTCCAAGCAGAAGAAGGGATATCAGAGGTCAAAGTCCAACTTAATGAAATAAAACGTGAAGAAAAGATTAGAGAAAAAAGGATAAAAAGGAATGAGCAAAGTCTCCAAGAAATGTGGGACTATGTGAAAAGACCAAATTTACGTTTGATAGGTGTACCTGAATGCGACGGAGAGAATGAATCCAAGCTGGAAAATACCCTTCAGGATATTATTCAGGAAAATTTTCCTAAACTAGCAAAGCAGGTCAACATTCAACCCCAGGAAATACAGAGAACACCACAAAGATATTCCTCAAGAAGAGCAACCCCAAGGCACATAATCGTTAGATTCACCAGGGTTGAAACGAAGGAGAGGATACTAAGGGCAGCCAGAGAGAAAGGTCGGATAACCCACAAAGGCAAGCCTATCAGACTTACAGCAGGTCTCTCGGCAGAAACTCTACAGGCCAGAAGAGAGTGGGGGCTAATATTCAACATCCTCAGAGAACAGAACCTTCAGCCCAGAATTTCATATCCAGCCAAACTAAGCTTCACAACTGAAGGAAAAATAAAATCTTTTACGAACAAGCAAGAACTCAGAGATTTTATTACCACCAGGCCTGCTTTACAAGAGCTTCTGAAAGAAGCATTACACACAGAAAGAAACAACCAGTATTAGCCTTTCTAAAAATACACCAAAAAGTAAAGAGCACCAACATGAAGAAGAATTTACACCAACAAATGGATAAAACAGCCAGTCAACATCAAATGGCAGTAACCCTAAATTTAAATTGACTAAATTCCCAATCAAAAGACATAGCCAAAACCCAATGGCATGTTACATCCAGACCTGTTTCACATGCAAGGATACACAAAGACTCAAAACAAAGGGATGGAGAAAGATTTACCAACCAAATGGAGAGCAAAAATAAATAATAAATAAATAAAAAGCAGGAGTTGCAATTCTTGTATCGGATAAAATAGATTTTAAAGCAACAAAGATATAGTGGTAAAAGGATCAATGCAACAACAAGAGCTAACGATCCTAACACCCAGATAGGAGACTTAGATTCAATGAGACAGAAAATTAATAAGGATATCAAGGACTCGAACTCAGATCCAGAACAAGTAAACTTAATAAATATTTATAGAGCTCTCCACTTCAAATACACAAAATATACATTCTTGTCAATACCACATCACACCTACCCATTAGTTTAAATAAAACATTGATTGGCCATTATTAATACCCAATTTTTTTCAAAATAAAGCAATATTTCCATTTACTCTCCCTCTTTCTCTTCCTCTTTCTTCCTCTCCTTTACTTATTTTTTTTTTTCTTTCCTTCTCTCAAAAAAAAAAGAAATCAACTTGTAAACCTCTAGATCCAGGTCGGCAATGTCTCTTTCATTGCTTGATTTCCTTTCTTCCCTTCCCTCCCTCCCTCCCTCCCTCCCCGCTTCCTCCCTTCCTTCCTTCCTTCATCCCTTCCTTCCTCCCTACCGTCCTTCTTCCCTTCCTTCCTGCCTTCCTCCCCTCTCCCAAAAAAAAAAAAGTTACACTGCAATATTTACATATATACACATATATGTGCATATGTGTATATGTATGTACTACAGGCACTTGTGTATTTTCTAAAACAATGAAAATATAATGAGAATTGCATTACTTTATATTTTTTCATGTCTCTCGAATGTCTGGCTTAATCAAAGACCCTTAGGTCTGGGTGTGGTGGCTCACATGGCTCACTCCTGTAATCCCAGTGCTTTGTTAGGATAAGGTAGGAGGATTATTTGAGGCCAGGAGCTCAAAACCAGTTTT